GGAACCCCTCATATCCCCCAGCCCCCCTTCCCTTGAGGAACACATGCTTTGGGCTTTCACCCCAAGTATCAGGAGTTAATCTCTGGGACAAACTCGAAACTTACTAAATATAGAATGTCCTTAAATTGCGAATTTGGACATAGGACGAACACCATTGTGTTCAAGATAATCTCTACATTCCGTAGATGTGCCAAATGAGTGAATCTAGACACTTTCCATAAATAGCATTTGGGACCAAAAGGAAACTAACACAAAGGGCATGATAGCAAAGGTGTTTGGCAAACACGGTAAGCAATAATCGTTTAGCGAATATTGAGGGACCAAGCTCAATATCACGGGGGTTCCCAACACTAGCAAGTGCAAGTCAACATCATGAGTTTCTCATCACTGTGTCAAATCTGCTTGACAAATGACAATTTAGGATTTTTTTCCTTAGTGCCCTTCCAGTCTAAATGCACATGTGATAACCAGTTTCTCAACTAGCTTATGTGGAGACTAATAATAGCAATACCAACCTCCTGCCGTTATGGCAGTAAGGAAAGAATATCTGAAAAGATTAGCTGACAGGTAACTTTTGATACCTGAAGTCACATTCGTGACAAAGATAGACTTAAGTGACATCTCAAAGAGAAGTTAGGATATATGTAATGGAATATGCTAATCTCCACAAGTACAAAGAGTCTACTTTCAAAATGAAAACCATAATTGGAGAAAATTAACAAGATGGAATATATCATATATAAAGTCATGGAGGGGGAAGGAAAAGCTTCTAAAAAGATTCATTTGTTTTTATTTTTGTTAGCAAAAGATCAACATTCTATGTACTCATATGTCAATGGCATATCAATAGCAATTTTATATTGACATAAGCATGTGTAATATTATGTAAGGTGTACTATATATACTAGCATTATGTATCCAATAGATTTAAATGACTTGGCAATGGATGATATGCTACCATGAACTAACCATTAGCTAAGTTGCCTAAGAAAAAAAACACATATAATCAATCATATATTTCTTTCTAGCTCTCTCTTGATCTATTTCTCTTTGTTTTCCTTAATAATTTATGGTTTCATTTAACTTTTATCTTTTGAAGATGGTAGAGCTTAACTGGAGAAACAAGCAACAATTCTAGATCTTGGCATGATGATTGTGGTGTTGATGTGATCTATGTTGGTAAAGCCTTTGCTTGTCTCTATCAAACTGTTTAGATGCTTTATTTCGTTAAAGTGGAACTTATTCAGTAAAGTGGGACATTAATTAGCATGTGTCCACATGCCATTTCCTAGTACTTAATTAATATTTATTAATATTTCTATCAGTTTTTTAATTTATTTTTTATATTTCACAATATTATAACACAAAATCATATGAAAAGTTTTTAATTTATAAATTATAAAGCTAAAACTTCAATTTTTTATTGTTGTTATAAAAATGGCATGTGGCCACACACCATAAGTGGGATAATGAAAAGTTCCACTTTAACGAAATAAAGCATTTAGCTAATTGTTTTAGAGGTTTTGTCCAGACTAAGTCATTTTTAGCACCATCAAAATAAAAATATGGAAATTACATTCTTGATTGATCAGCTTTATAGAGCATATTTGGTATCTCTTCTTTAAAATTTATTTATATTTAATTTAATATTATCATGCATTTGTGATCTTTCTGTACCACTGGTGAATTAAACTTCAAATCTTTGCTCATGGGATTTGAATGCTATACACATGGATGGGTATCTAGGATTCTATACCCAAATTAAGTTTTTGGATTAGTTTCCATCTTAGCCCTATAAAGATAGAGTTTTAAGGACTTTATACTTAGATAAATTTATTTTTTCTTTTTCATTATTTTAGTATTTTATTAATAATTTTATTATTTTCCCTTCTCTTGATGACAAGCTCCTGAAAAAGCTCAATAATTTTAATTTACTTGCATAAAAGAATATCCCCATAATTGTCCTAATCCATAGCAAAATATTGCTTTAGAATCTGGTGAATTTATCACATCATCACATTCCACTGTAATTCAATATGGTTTCAGCTCTCTGAATTGTCCAAGACAACTATACAAGATTAGCCTCTAAGATTAAAATAAAACAAGAAGAAAGGCAGGAAGAAAGAGATAAACATGACTTTTGATTCAGTGCTTTAGTGCTTGCTCAATCAGCTCTTTCTTGATCAGATGCTAGCTCTATAGCTGGAATGAATACCAAAGCAAGCAGAGCTTTCACTTACATGAGCGAATGTGCCCAATGCATTGCACCATGGCATACACTGTCTGAGGCTTAGCCCCAAGCTCATCTAAACAACTGGGTAAGAATATACCTAATTTAAAAAAGGCAAGAGCCTCACTGAATACATTTTATTGTGTGATGTTTAAATATCATCTCCAAAGAAAATGTAACTCACCTATGCAAGATTTCAAAAGGATTACAGCTTTGTCCACTATGACAAAGGAGACAAATCTTGTTCTTGAGTTTGGAGAAGTTACAATCTCTTAATAAAAAGAAGCTTAGCTCAATAGATTGATCTAAGGTTCTTTTCATAGCTTCTTCTCTTTTTTCCATGCCAATTTCATTATACATGAGAATTATGGACTAGTGCTAAATGTGACAAAACTCTGTGCTTGTAGAAAAGTCTTTTTTTGATGCTTCAGTTCTTTGGTTTTAACTATGGAAGGTGGATAGTCTGTTTAGCTCTTCCTTTGTTTAGAGGCCTTTCTCACACCTTTATGAATGGCCTTAACCACACTGAAGTGATGGCTTCAAGAAGAAAGTTTACTTAACTCTTGGGAGATTCTAGGTATATGGCATTGAAGGGACTTCTAAACAGAGGTCATGAATAAGGCTTGATCACTATAAGATATTTTTTATTTTTCTTTTTCAAATTCCAAGCACAAAAAAATTGATGCCTTTCTTGAAATTAAAGGTGATACAGTATGCCTGTCAATATGGTTTTCATTCCATGCATGGTTTTTTTTTTATTCTTTTACAGTATAGTAGAACTGAATATAGCAAGCAATATACATAACATATGGTTCTGTGAATCAATATAGTTTCTACTAGATAACATATAATTTTCTCAAAAATTAATTTAAAACTATGTTTTTAATGTAAAACTTAATGTTAATGTTTTTTCTGTATATAACTTATGTTCTAAACTAGAACATACTATGGTTTTTAATATAGATATACTCTCAAGCACTATTATAGAACTAGAACATAATCTAGTTTTTATATATATAACATTATGATGTTTTATATGTAATAAAAAATTGGAACACAATATGGCTTATAATATAGACATCAAAAAGTATTTTAAAAATAGAACATAATCTAGTTTTTCATATAAATTCTTGAACAGCAGACCAGCCAGCATGGTGTGGAGTGTGTTTTTTTCCTTCCAAAACTCATTTTCAACGATACACAGTTACATATTCTCTGTGACAATATTATTTTGCCAAAAGCATCGGTTGTGCCATTTTGCAAACAAACAATATCTCTAACCAAAACTTATGATGTGAAGAATCATGTTGCAACACTGGATGATCCCTTGGTGACATCTTCTCTAGTCTCACCATACATGCTTGTCAGGCAACAACTAAATGGTCACTTTATTGGCATGCAAAATGTCATGCCTGTTGGTAGCAAGTTCCTTGGCATTTTTAAAAAGGTGACAACCAAATCAACCTGATAATCAGCCCAATTCATAATCTCTTCTTAAGAAAAATGCTGCATATGATCCCATTGCTCATCGTGTTGGTGCAACACTCCAGAAACTTAATGGGAGCTAGATGACTTGAACAAAAACTAAAGAGAAATAATAATCAAAATAAATAATCTAATGAAGAGCTTTCTTTTGTATGGGGAAATCAGTGAAGATGCCATCAACGCTAATCTTGTCTAGCCAAAAATCAAACTCTTAATAATGGAAGTCCTTGTGCAAGAAATGATACTCATTCTGGAATGTCCAAGGATGAACTTGCAAGCCTCTTGTGTGTGCCTTGTCAACCAGATCGCTCAGCACTAACAGGCTGCTCTCACTTGAGATTTGGCTTGTACTCATCACAGGCACGATACTATCTTTATATGGTGCAATTACAAACTTACTGATGTAGTCGAGGTATTCGTATGAAGTGAGCTCCTCTAGAGTCTAGAAAATACAGTCCGAAGTTTAGCCCAAGTCTAGTCCACTTCATCACTAATTTATACCTGGTGCGAGTCCTTCGTTAGTTTTGAAGCTTCATCCATGAGAAGGGATTTGGGACTGTCTGTGAGATTAGCCATGTAAATTAGTGACAAAGGAGCAAACCAGTGAATAATAATCAGCTTGGTCAGCCATTCATCCGATAGATACGATTCTTTGTATCCGAATTTGTGAAGAGTCCATCTGCCAATACATATAAGCTTACATGTTGGTTGACATGCACTGGACATTTGATTTCAGGATAGATGCCAGCAGCCTGCGGGGCATTTAGTGCAATGGATTTCTTCAAATTTGATTATCTGAAAGCATTCATGTTATATCATGACTGTAATCCTGGTTGCGGAATGAAAACCTCTGCTTGAATCGAACTGTTTTAAGCTCCTTCAATGTAAAGTCAACTGTCCCAAGAAAAATAAAACAAAAACACCCAAAGTCGGAAGTGTTGACTCACTGACAAAGTGTCCAGTTATGATTTTGCCTTCAACTTCATGGCTTTCCTGTCTGCAAACTCGATATGATCTGTAGTGTTATCATGGAAACATTTCAAGACGCCATCTTTTGTAGCCAATATATCTGTTTCTTACCTTCCTCAATTTCTCTGCAAACAAATACAAATGTTTTGATTTTTATTTTATTTTCAGCCACAGATTGTTCAGAGAACTCATCAGGGCACCCGCGATGAATAAGATTCAAAGCCAGGCCGAAAGGTTTCTTATGCAAAGCCCTTGAACTCAATGCCACATTGATAAAAAAAGTACCAACTTCATATTGGAAAGAAAAGAAAAAAGCTCGCTATAAGGGTTTAATCAATTAATATATAACATATATACAGAGTTTAAGGTATTAGAACTATAAAAGCTTCCTTTTTCGAGGAATACTGGTATAGTTCGATGAGCTTCGTAGCATCAAACTATCGTCTCTTGGAGTTTGCTTCAAGCTCGTTGCTGTGGATGGACTCTCCGGAGCAATGGGACTCTCGGGAACGATCTCTCGTTGCTTGAGTTTGGGGGAGATACTTTGTTGAGAGGGAGATGCCGCCATTCTAATGGAGGATTGATCATCATCCTCTTCGTCACCATTGTCTTCTCTGTCGGTAGCCTCTTCTTCTTCGTCATCGTCTCCGCTGCTTGATCGTCTAGACGGTGTAGGAACGGCCAATTGGAGCTCGCGAAGCTTGGCTTTCTTTGAATTGAGCAAGGCCACAAACTGGAGAGATGTGCTCGTCAATCACACAAGCCAAAGTTTACAGGCGATCTTACTTTGCGAATAAGCTCCTCCTCGGATTGGTTCTTTTCTTGAACGAGTCTCTTGTTTTGCTCCAGATATTTATCAACCTCGGCTTTCATGCTGTTAAATAGTCTCGTCTTGTTCTTGAGCTCCTCCTGCACAGAAAGGCTCTCAATCTAGAACTCGAAAGAGTCACGTACTCTTATCTTCGTGTCTGCCTCTAGAACAAAGTCTAGAATCTGGCAATTTATCGCTTTGGAATCCGCTGATTTTATCAGCTTCCAGCGCGATTCCAACGTGGTTCCAGCTCTCTGGATCGTCCAAGACAACTATACAAGATCAAACGACAGAGCCTTCGAGATCAAACAAGAAGAAAGGCAGGAAGAAAGAAAGAAAAACAATCGGTTCTTACTTTTGCTTCATTACTTGAGGGAGTCTCAAGCTTATACACGGACGAAGCTTGGTGCTCGCTCAATCGGCTCCTCACGTCTCGGAGATAATCGGCCACGGATTGATCCCACTGGCTAGCCCGGTCCTCGATCATGTCGCGGGATGCTACACAGAGCTCCAGAGCCGGAATGAGGGCCAAAGCCAAGATCTCACTTACGCGAACAGCTCCATGCCTGGAATCCATCCGAAACATCCAGCGTGAAGGCGCCCGGCGTCCATTGCACCCTCGCGTACACCGATCGATCGTCCTGGAGACGCAACCTCGCGCAAGTTACTTCTCCCTCCATCCAAACAAGCAAGCCCTAAACCTCACGAATATACCTTTAGGGTAATAATATTCCTCCAATTTAAAAAAACGAAACTACATTGAAATTTTTGCGTTCTTTTAGATTCAAAAATGTTATGGATTTACTCCTTTCCATCGGCCTTCCTGAGAGAACCAAGCTGGACTGGAGCTTGAGTTCCCACAACCTTGGAGGAGCTGTAACCCGCAAGTAAGTCTTGAGATCCCTCGCCAATTTCCTTGTCAAGCTGCTCCTTAATCCACAAGTAAGTGATCCGCAGCCCATCTTTCAATCGCATCGAGGGAGCCCATCCGAGCTTCTCCTTGATCAAACTGTTATCCGAGTTTCTCCCGCGAACTCCCTCCGGCCCAGGTATATGGCGGATCGGGATTTGCTTCTTCTCAAATCCGAGTATGATCTCTGCCATCTCGTTCATGCTCACCATCTCGTCGCTTCCAATGTTGAGCGGCTCCCGGAAATCGGACTTTGTGAGTCGCAAGACGCCCTCCACGCACTCGTCGATGAAGGTGAAGGATCGCGTCTGCATTCCATCGCCCCACATCTCAAACGAATCGGTGGAAGTCAGAGCCTTTCGACAAAACGCAGCCGGAGCCTTCTCTCGTCCACCTGGTTTTGAAACAATCTCAGTTACTCCCACTCAGGCTAAAGAAGCAAGAAGAAGATCTCAATCTATGAACTCACCTTTCCAGGTTCCAAAGGGTCCATAGATGTTGTGGAATCGTCCAATGCGGCACTCGATCCCAAAATCCTTGGTGTAGTGCTTGCACAGCTCTTCAGTGCATAGCTTCTCCAGTCCATAGGCATCTTGGGGCTGCAAAGTGCAAATTTTTTCAGATTCCCCGCAAAAGAAAAGAAGCTTTTTTGTTTTTTTCTTTTTCATACCTCTGCCGGCCATGCATCTGACTCCTTCAAACTCACGTTAGTCTCCAGCTGCTTAAACTCGGGGTAAATGCATGCACTGGACGCATAAAAAAATCTGGAAGCCAAGAGAGAGAGTGAGCTCCAAATCCTTGGGAAGAACAACTTAGAAACATCACAGGCTACCTTTTGACTCCATTGATCCGGGAGGCCTCGAGCATGTTGAAACTGATCATGGTGTTGTTGAAGAGAATCACAGAGTGATTGGACTGGATGAATCCCATTCCGCCCATGTCCGCCGCGAGGTTGAAGACGTGATCCACGCCCCTTGTCACCGCCAAGCAATTCTCCATGACGCGCAGATCCACGAGATGGAATTCGTGGCAAAACATGTCCTCGCTCATGTGCTCGTTCTTCTTCCAGTCGGACGCGATCACGTAGTGTCCCTCCGCCTTGAGCCGCCGCGCTATGTGCGAGGCGATGAATCCTCCAGCGCCGGAGATGGAAATCCGGAGCTTGGCTTGGGGCCAATACGCCTCGCGCTCTAGCTCGGCTCCTACGGTGTAAGCTCCAAAGCACTCCATTACACACAATGCTTTTTCTATCCTTTCGCTCTTCATACCCCTACTTATGCTACTGAGGCGATGGGCAAAGCTCAAGATAAATATCGATGTGATAAGGATCAGCATCATCAAGATGTATCCATCTTGGTCCCGCCGGGCGCCAAGATGTCGCGGCACCAGGGCCGCGTCGTCAATCAGCTCTTCCCGGTCGTCAATCTCCGCCTCGCGGTGAAGCGCTGCCCCGATGGAGCCCTGCCGGTGGAGGAAGGGTTCGTGGTCCAGCAGGGCACCAGGGCGGAGTCCTACTACATCACTCGTTCCAGGAATCAGGCCAACCTTTCCTATTATATAATGCCAAAAGGAAAAATAGGAAAACCTTTCTTACCTTTTTCAACGAAAAAGGTAAACCTGAAAGATTTTTCCACGATTTTATTTTATTTTTGTCTAGGAAAAAAAATACACCTTTAGGTGATGAGTTAATTCAAGTTACCAACGAATCTACTTTTGTTACGAGCTTTCTTGGGTCATTTCTTTTACACGCTGATGAGTTAGCCTCCTGTTCATCTCGAAAACCAGTCTCATGCCGCCCACCTGTGAAAAACCAAAGGTAAAAACATTCCACGCAGATGGTAAATTTTAGGACCTCGATTAGGCAGCTAGAGCTCAGGATCGCGCGTTGGCCAGTGAAAACTAGAACATCGTTCACGTACAACACCTTCTTTCCCAGGTTTTTCAGATGGAACATCCCATCTTCGTTTAGCTTGATGCTTGCCTGAAACAAAAAACCATGGTGAGAGCTGCGACAGAAACTTGGAAACTACAAACCTGCTTTCTGGAAACTCTGTTTGCCGGGCCCTCCTGTGCGAGATCGACATCAACGACGTTTCCTTGCGTCCGTCTACCGATCGAAACCTTGGATGCAAAGTGTGAGCCAAGCGTGAAGCTGAAAAGCAGCCATTCTCGCAAACCTCGTTGGCCACCATGAGATACTTCAAGTGGTATCCGTAGAGCATGGCAATGGCGCCTTTACGAGTGAGGTACCGTTGCATCACGGCGTTTACACTCTGCTCCAACCTTAGAATGGTCATTTGATGTTGTCCATAGAAACGCTTCGATTCTATGTAATACACACACAAGCCATGTAAGTACTTGCAGATAAAGTTTTACCTGCCCTTGCGGAGAGTTCATTGTCACCTGGATCCAAGTCCATGTCTAGTATCTGTAGAACAGATAACGAAGAATGTGTGAGTGTTCTAATGCAAGTTAGAAATTACCATGGTCTCAACATCCGAGAAACGAGCGATTTCATTGTCGCTTTCGACTTCCGGAGGGAGTTCTTGAACGCCCGTCGTGACTTCCAGTTCGTTGTCTGTGCAAGTCCCCGCCTTTGGAGCCGAGTAATCGACTTCTAGCCCGCCTGTCGTCTCGGTTCCGGGCTCTATCTTCACGTTTGCTGGGAAAACAACAAGGCAGAGAATCGAAACAAAACAACACAAAACCAAAAAAGGATTTCAATAACCCACACAGATTGTTTACCTGAGGCAAAACTTGTGTAGCTGCCGCCTTCGATGATCGGCTTTTCACTGGTTTCAGCCGTCTCGTCGTCTGCTCTGTCGAGACAGTCCGAAGACCTCATATCACTTGTGCAGCCTCTGCCGTCCTCCGGTGAGCTAGGCACGCGCTCGGAAGAAGGGGAGGACATAGCTCCAAAGGCCGATATCTCTGTCTCTTGTGTGTTGAAGGAGCAGACGAACTTCTCCTGGACGACTGAATCTGTGCGTGATTTCTTCGGCTTCCGGAAATAGTCGTCTTCCTCTTCGTCTGACGAAAGTATGACGTATGGCTCGGGATTGCCATTGACGTCCAAGTTGGAAGACGAAGGCATGCGTTCACCCGAAATGGTTGCATGAAGCTCTTTCTTGGCATCTCCAGTCACGTCATTTTCGGCAGCTCCATTTGGTTCGTCAAGCTTCGTTTGAGATGATTTTTCCGGGGCTGCCACCATCACGGGGCTGAGTGAACTCTCAAGCGAGACTTCGTCCTTGGCATCCTGCTGCGTTTCCAGTTCAGATTCACCAGGGAAAGCTCCAATGACAGCTCCAATCCCTCCGGTAGCAAGAAGATCGACCATCTGAGAGAAAGCGTGATCGTCCGGATCAACTAGCATGTCCAAGTCGTTCTCTCCAAGGTTGATCTGGCTTCCACCGTCGGCGACGCCATCAAGCACGCCTTTGTCATCTGCCAAGCCTCTCTTTCTCTTGTAGAAAGTATCACGGACGCTCTTCTGCCGCCGCTTGTGCACGAAGTCCTGGAGCTTTTGCTTGTTGGGAAACATGAGCCGCATGGACTCCAAGAACGACGCTTCTGCCTCTACCATCCGGATGGCCGCCTTGGACGAGATCTCCGGATCGTAAAGAAGAGCTCTCCATCGCTCCCGGAGCTCTCGAACTGTGTAACGACGTGAGAATCGCATGGCACCTCTGGCAAGAGCTTCCATGGCCGCGCCTGCCTACATGGAAAGAAACCCAACGTAAAGACATGTTTGTTTCATGCTGAAACCGCGAGCAACTCACTTTACCTCCATTGCGTTTCTAAGAAGAAGATCATCTTCCACGGTCCAGAGGCTAAAATCTGGCGGAGGGCCACTCTCCGCGACTACACCACCAGTGAGAACATGAGGAGCAGCAACCTTGGCAGCTTTCTTCGCAGCTACGAAGATTCAAAGAACAAAAAAAAAAAGCTTGAGACAATTAGCTAAGCGTCGACAAGAAAGAAGAACAATGCCAATGGTCGATCCACAAAGAAACTCGGACAGCCCAAAGAAAAGAAAAGTCTAGAGAATGTAAGAACTTAAAGCGAAAAAGAAACAAGAAGATATGACACAGTGTATGAACTTTCGAGAACAAGGCACCAAGAAAAAATAACTTCTATCACAGTACCTTCGCCAGAATGGGACTGATCTTCCTCGTTGGATTTGTATGGATCATCGGCGCCCTGGAGAGCGATTGGAGTGAGCTACATTAGCTAGAGACGGAGAGAACGAACCTGTAATCTCAAAATATCATCCAAGGAGGAGAAAGGGGCCTCTCGATCTATGTCGGGATACATATCGGGCAGCGGCACAAGCTTCATCCCTTCCCGAATCTCCTCCATGTCGACTTCGTCGTCCATGTCGCTCAGGAATCCATCGCCGAGATCCTCCCTGTGAAACAAGAGCCGATCGTCCATCCTGCTGCGCGATTCCGGAGCCCTGGCGATGGAGAAATCGCTGCTAGCGATCGATTCGCGGCCTTCGCGCGGAAAAACCCTAGCTAATCAAAGCGGTATATCAAAACTTTTGTTATATTGTCTGTGTGTTTGTGGTAGAACAAAGCTTTGGATCGTCCTTTTCTATGGAACTTTAGACACTTTCATCTCTCGCGAAGAGCTTCTGCAACCAAGGAAAACGAGAAAAACTCGATCAGGAGCACCGAGAACTGCGAGGAGAAAAAGGGGAGGAGCGAGGAGAGATTTAAATGCTAGTGCCTGGATGCAAGCGGAGCTGCTGCTCGAATCGCTGGAGCTGGAGAACAAATCCGGGATTGGGCGACGCTTCCGGACGCTTGCTCTTGACGAGCTCCAGCGCTCGCGAGAGGTTCCATCTGTGAGATTTCATGAGGTAAGCCACGATCACTGTGACACTGCAAGATCGATCGACAAAAGGGTAAGTTTCCTGGACTGAAAAAAACGAAAGTTACAAACCTTCTAGATCTTCCGGCAAAACAATGTACTAAAACTGCTCCACCGGAAGCTTTCGCTTCGTCTATAAACGCGAAGCAATCGTCAAAATGGCTTGCTAAGTTGGAGTCGGCACTGTCCAGTACTGGAAAAACAAGGAACACGAGCAAAACGTAAGAAAACCAAAGCAAGATCATAAGAAAACCAATATAAAGAACATAGAACACAGAGAACCATGGGATAACCACGAGGAATCTAGAGATATGACAGGAACTTGCATTCTTAGCAAGAAGAAAGAACATCATCGAGCAAGAGATAGACGAGAACTCGCGGTCTTAGCAAGAACAAAGAACAAGTCTAGAACAAAGCAAACTATGAGAAGAACTTTTACTTCATACCTTCTACACGCTTATACTTGAAATCCCGGGTGAAAGGCATCTCGAGAGCGTTGGCAATGGTTAGAATGTGAGTGATTTGCACATTCTGGAGTGCTGCTTTGTGGAACGCTGCGCCGATCGATCCGAGATAGAGCCCCTAAGAGAAGAAATCCGTGAGAGGAAGCGCCAGAGACAATGTACCTGCTCGATCTCGCAGGGGAGATTGTCATTGCGAAGATACTTTGCTAGAAGGTAGGCGCGAAGGAATTTGGCTACTCTCGGCTGATCCAGGTGATTCATCGTCGACAAAATAGAAAACCCTAACCTGGAAAATCTTCTCTTTTTCTTCGCAATATTTAGGGTTCTTGAGAAGAGTAAAGCGAAATTTAGGGCTCTTGATCGCTATGGCGCTTGCCATGGCCCCGAGGATGCGATGCCTCTACATTTTCAACAGGAATGGCATGTGCTTGCACTACCACGTCTGGCTGCGATCGCTGATGACGCTGAGTCCCCAGCAGGATCAAAAGCTCATGTTTGGAATGCTCTTCTCGCTCAATTCCTTCACGGCCAAGATCGATCCAGTGAGGTGAGGGGGATTCTCGCTAGATCTGGTGAAAATTTGGTGATTTTCAGCTCCGGGAAGGAGAACAATCCGCCGTGCTCCTTCTATAGCTTCCGGACGAACACTTACAAGCTACATTTCATGGAGACGGCGTCTGGGATCAAGGTAATGCGCGCTTGTAGCTCCAGGCTTAGTTTGTCTTCTTCTCGCAGATCATTCTCTTGACAGATCCCAGGATTGGAGATCTCCGCGAGGCTTTGATGCACATCTATAGCAACATCTACGTCGAGTACGTCGTGAAGAATCCTCTCTACTCTCCCGGCCAGCCTTTCAGGTCGATCCAAATCTCTTCTCCCTCGCTCTTGTGGTCGTCTCAATCGTTCTTCCAGATGCGAATTGTTTAACATGGCATTGGATCACTACGTCAAGACCTTGCAATAGTGCCACGTCAGGACCACGCAGAATACCACCTGGCAGGTACTGTGCCACGTGGAACGTTTTTTATATTTGTAATTTAAAAGTCTTAAAACACGTAATTTCTTTTAGGGTTTATGGTGTGGCGCCAATGTGGAGTGGTATTCGAGAGCGCGAGCTCGGGGCACCGCCATGGCGCTACGCTGCTTCTGTTCGCCGGATGAGATCTCGCGCATTGGAGCTGTGCAAGACCAAGGATGTGATTTCGTCTGGCAGAGGCGCTGTGAACAGCTTGCAGGTATTTGGATCGGTTCTTTCATTTTCAGTTTGAAAATTATTGTGTAAATCTTGTGCTAGATTGATCCCGTGGAAGCTAGATATATGCTTGCTGGCAATGGAAATGGATCGATCAGTGTCTATGACATATCACAGCCAACGACGGTGGAGCCTTACTCTCAAAAGCACGAAGCCCTCTTTTCTATTGACAAAGCCCATAGGTACTCCGTTTCATCAGTTCGATGGTATCCAGTGGACACTGGAATTTTTATCTCTGGCTCGTTCGACAAGCATATAAATGTTTGGGATGCAAACACTCTCGAGGTTGGAGACCTTTTCTTTGTTGGTTTCTGATTCACTGAATCGTTCTTTTGTAGGTGCTGATGCAATTCAAAATGCCAGGGAAGGTTTTCGGTGTAAGCATGTCACCCGTTTCTACGACTCACATGCTTATAGCTACAGGCACGGAGGACTATCGCATAAGGCTTTGCGATATATCTTCTGGTGCTTTCACCCACACCCTTAGCGCTCACCGAGGTATTCGAGATTGTGTTTGTCCCTGCAAAACCTTTCCTGTACTTGCAGATGCTGTTTGGGCGGTGAAATGGTCTGCATCTTCCGAATGGATTTTAATTTCCGGAGGTTGTGACGGTGCGATCCGGTTGTGGGACATAAGACGTGCGGGTTGCTTCTATGTTCTTGACCAGCATCGTTCTTCTGCTTCTCAGGAAGGTAATAGTTTCCCTCTCGTTCTCTTTTGTTTTGTCTATTTTTTTGAAGCCACTGAAATCAGTAGAGCAGCGAAAACTTCCAAGGATGCCACTCCTGGACGAGTTCATCCAGGCTTGACTTCGGCTCTGGACCGTTCCACGGCGCACTATGGCACAGTGACATCGCTCCAGACAAGCCGCGACGGACACTACCTTCTTAGTGCGGGTACGGCTTCGTTTGTTTTGTTTCTTTACTTTTAAGAACACAATGCGCCAGGCAGTGATTCCAGAGTCAAGCTATGGGACATAGAAAGGGGCTGCAATACTCTTGTGAATTACGAGGCAACAAACATAAACGGAAATCTGACGTGCGAACTTGAGGTCTCTGGAGACAAGCCACTGGTGTTCGTTCCATGTCTAACCTCGATACAGGTACGACGTATCCTATCCTATTCGGAATAATTCTCTATTTTCACTTGAAAGGTGTACGATATGTTGAGCGGTCGCTTGCTTTCCACCTTAAAAGGACACTATGAACTTGTAAACTGCTGTGCTTATCACAGTCAATCACAGGTATTATATCGTCTCTCTGTTTCCTCGAGAAGCTATGCTTTTTTTTCTCCCAGGAACTCTACAGTGGAAGCAATGATCGTAGAATACTCGTCTGGTCTCCAAAGCAGTCGGTTTCCGAGGTGAGCGCAGCATCTTTGTGGTGAAAAACAGGAGATATGGATGCGATTTTTTCTTTCAGGACGAAGCTCTTGGAACTATTGCGGCTCAAGTGCAAGCCGACGAGGACAATTGGAGCGATTGACTAAAACTATATTTTTTGTAACATTAACTAACGGTTGAATTCAACTCTTATTTGGCCTCTCGTTTTAGGTCTCATGGAAGAAGAAGTCGCGTACTACTCCAAGGATTTTGATTGGAATGATCTGCGCGAAGAGGTGGAGAGCGCACAAGTTGGGCTTACATTATATTGTTTCCTTTTACTGATCAATGGCTTGTTCTCTTTGACTAGGATTTGGCTCGCGTAGAAGAGAAGATGATTTCTAGCGAGCATGCCTGTACTGCAGCCTTGGCATGGGAGAAGTTTCACAGCCGACACTCTCAAGGCATCTTCTTTAAAGTAAGCATCAGCACTGCACTGTTGCCTTACGGGCTTTCCACATTGCAGGAGCGTAGGTATCTTCTCAAAGAGTTCCCTGAGCTTGGAAGATCTAATCAAGACTTCACTGTTCTGGAGGTTGGATGTGGAGCTGGAAGTTCGGCCATTCCGATCCTGAGGTTTGATGTTGTTTGCTATTCCCTCTTACTGAAGGACGTATTTTGTTCTAGAGCAACAACAACCGCTAGAGTGTATGCTTGCGACCTCAGTGAGGCTGCCGTGAGCCTCACAAACAAGATGGGAGAGAAAGCTTTGAATGAGCAAGCAAAATCGAGGCTGCGGACTTTTGTTTGCGATCCTTCCTGTGAGGCACTTCCGGCGTGGCTGGCTTGTGACGCCTGTCGAGCCTCCGACTTTGGTATCAAGAGCTCCCTTGTAAGCTGCTGCGAAGGAGGAGCAGATTTCATCACGCTGGTAAGCCTGACATTGTCTTGCAATTAAAACTGATTTGTCTTTTCAGATTTTCGCTCTTTCCGCGCTGGCAGATCTGGATCAAATGAGCAACCTTCTCAAAGAATGTTGCTCTGTACTCCGACCCGGTGGAATGCTTCTCTTTCGAGATTATGGTATGCTATTTCTCCGTGAAATAGTAAGACTCACGGTGGCAAGCCTACAGGCTTGTATGACATGACGATGTTGAGATTTCCAGCAGACCAAAAAGTAGCTGCTAATTGCTATCGCCGTCTCGATGGTACTTTGTCGTATTTCTTCTCGTGCGAAGCCGTGCGTGATCTCTTTACGGGTGCTGGATTGCTCGAGGTAAAACGATGCTTGTTTCCTTGTTATTATTATTCTGTCTGTTCTTTTTCCAGATTGAACTGGAGTACTGCTGCATTAAGCTGGTGAATCACAAAACTAAAGTTCCTATGAAGCGAGTCTGGGTTCACGCAAAGTTCATGAAGCCTGACCATACGTAAGCAACTCCGGTTTCTAAGAATTCACTCCTTGATTTGAACGACTTCCTCTTTCAGTAAATAGAACATAGAACCTCTGACAAAAATCGAGTTAATCGTCATCAGTTCTTGCTGGCCGGGAAGGACACAACTGCTCCTGGTTCTTCTGGGTGCTTTCAACCCGTGAGAAATTATCAGAGTATACTGGCGAAGGTAAATTCTCTTACGACGAGCTCTACTCGCAAGCAGCTTTGTGAGGCTGTATCCTCCCATATGATACTACAGTCGTCCGGATGGAGAAGATAAGAAATGCCTCGAGTTTAAGGCCGAGAGATGGATCAGTGCGAGTCCATTCAAGTTTCTGGCTGAGCCGAGAGTCAAGACGATGAAGCAACTCCGGTACCAAAATTGAATTTCGGGTGGAGGAAATAGAAGAGCGGTCTCAACAGAATACATGGGTCATTCCAAACTTCAGCAAGGTACTAGAAATCTAGATTTCTTTTGTAATGACTTGACTTGGTGACTTTCAGATCCACTGGTACGAGCCTCTATCACCGTCTCAAATGACTGTCGTGTCTCTTATCGTATGGCAAGGTAGCTTCTTCGAATCTTTTTCTTTGGCTGGCGTTTCTTCCTTGTGACTTGGGTTTTCAACTGGTCAGGGCGACTGACATGCGTCACTCCTTTTCTGGGCTTTCAGCATGAACCAAGGTATGTTGTGGAGCTTGAGCTTTGTTCTTGCGGCAGCGGTGGGCTGGATAGTCCGGAGGACGATTCAATCAAGAGCCGACTCGCAACGAACAGGCGGTCCAGTACTTTATCCAGTCGTTGGGAATGTATTCGACTTCCTTCGCAACAGCCACAGGTTTCTCGAGTGGTCGACAGAGTATGTGATCAACTCTCCCTCCAATACTTTCACCACTGGGAGGTTTGGCAGCACTTTCAAAATCACTGGCAATCCCGCAACTGTGGAGCACATCTTGAAGACCAACTTCGAGAATTATCCCAAGGGAGAACACCTGAGGCAGAGCCTGACCGACTTGCTGGGAGATGGTATTTTCAATGTCGACGGGGAGCTGTGGAAGATTCAGAGGAAACTTGCGAGCTTCGAGTTCACAACGAGGTCACTGAGGGAGTTCCTCATGGATTCCCTGGCGGACGAAGTTCACAGCCGGTTACTGCCAACTCTTGCCAGTGTTTCCCGGGATGGGAAGGAGATCGACTTACAGGACTTGTTCATGAGGTTTAACTTCGACAACATTTGCAAGCTCTCTTTCGGTGTTGATCCGGCGTGCTTGGATCCATCGTTTCCGGAGGTGAAGTTCGCGCAGGCATTTGACAAGGCAACGACGCTTAGCACGCTGCGCTTCCAAAAGATCCATCCTCTGGTGTGGAAATTAATGCGAGCTCTCAACGTTGGACCGGAAAGAGAACTCAAGGAGGTGCTGGATGTGGTGAACGAGTTTGCAGTGTCAGTGGTCCAGAAGCGGCGAGAAGAAAAAGGAAGGGTCAACCAGGACTTGCTCTCGAGGTTCATTGGACTCGACTCGACGAGCTTCTCTGACGAGTTTTTGCGGGATATCATCATAAGTTTCGTGCTCGCCGGCAAGGACACAACAGCGGTGTCACTCTCGTGGTTCTTCTGGCTGCTCTCGAATCATCCAGGCGTTCAGCAGGAAATCATCAGGGAAGTCGGGAGTATAGTCGCGAAAGGGTCAAACAGGCCATTCACTTACAAGGAGCTTCGGGACATGGTCTACTTGCAAGCAGCTCTGTGCGAATCAATGAGGCTCTATCCCCCAGTACCGATTGACACAAAGGTCGTGAAGAACTCGGACGTTCTCCCGGATGGTAATTGTGTGGAGAAGGGGATGAAGGTATCGTATCACGTCTACGCTATGGGAAGGATGGAGAGCTTGTGGGGGAAGGACTGCCTCGAGTTTAAGCCCGAGAGATGGATCCAGGATGGCCAGTTCGTCGAGGTGAGTCCATTCAAGTTTCCGGTGTTTCAGGCCGGGCCGAGAGTGTGTCTGGGCAAAGAGATGGCCATGCTACAGATGAAGTATGTGGTGGCGGCTCTGGTACCAAAGTTTGAGCTTGTGGTGGTGGGAAAAGAAGAGCCTTGCTACGGTATCAACATGACGCTGATCATGAAAGATGGACTTCCCGTTGTTCCCAAGCTTCGTTAGTCTGAGATGTGGCGCCAATATTCCAAATCTTTTAGACATGAAAACATTTTCAAAGTTCAACAAACAGTCAAACATACGGGGAGTCAACTGAAGGAAAGTTTTGGATAACTCAATTCCAGAGCTCGTGAATGATGTGTACCATTTTGGAAGCTGGTGAATAACGCAATGTTTGTTTAAGGGGAACTTACCACTGAACTAAAATTCACGACTTCAACACGTCCCTAATGCACTCGTATATGTTGAGGGTGGTCACACCGTCACAGTAACCTATGCAAATTGTCTTTAGATTTGGAACGAACAAGATGCAGAAGAAGAGGAGATTTCAAGGAACCCCAATCAATTTTTCACAATTCCCAAGGGAGAGGTTTGACAATGTCAGCATGGGAAACATTCGAAAATTGGAGTATTATGTTCCAAGTCAAATCCATAGTCTTTAGAGTTTTGAGCTCTCTAATGCTACGTGGCAAACTTACCACCCCAGTGTTACTTAGGCACAAAACCGTAATGTAGTTAGAGTGCAATGGGGACTATAATCCAAGAGCAAGCACGTGGTGCTTGAAACTCTGACCTTGTTCTGCAGGGTATTTTCAGAAATTCTACACCCATCGAGTGAAATCTTGTTGTAGTTACTGAAGGCATTCCCTGGTATGAGACCTTTCAGCCTTGAGGTAACACTTCCAAGGGGCATTTGTTCCAGGGTGTGTAAAGGAAGAGCTCTTTTTCTTCAGTGATAAGTGCATGACGTTCAAGTGCGACGTCCAAGGCGACTTAACAAGCCAGATTTTTACAGTTTGCTTAGAAAGTAGTGGAGTGAAGTGTGGGGGGCTTCCACTGCTCCTGAAGGTAATTGGCAGAAGAATGGCAGGCACACAAGATTGGGACTATGACCTTACTTGAACTAGCAAGTTTTTGGTTTGGGAATGCGTGGACTATGAACAACTTTTGCCAAGAGCCCCATCTCTGTTTTGATTGCACCTCTGCTGCCAAGCACATCAGTTTTTCGACTGGTAATAAAGATCTTGCTTCCATTCTCTTGCACCACACCAAACAGACCGGATTTCCAGACATTATCCAACACCAGCAAGCACCTTTTCCCTGCAAGCACCGTTTCATTGCTGGTCCGACCTTCTAGTCTGATTAGTTTGGCAAGCTCGTGTTGCTTTGGTTCCATCTGAGGAAATACAAACCATGTTGCATGCAGTTGTGATAATCTTAGGAATGGTTAGCCACAAAACTGGATCGAAATGCGGTCATTGTCAGGAGTGTTTTTCCAGCACCTCCTACCATGTTGTAAGTAGAAGATGTTACTGACTACTCGTTCCCACACTCCACAACGTTGTGTAGTCACATGAAACGTCGTCGGGAGTGAAAGGCATGCTATCAACTCTTCTGCCTCGCAACCCCGTCTACTCCATAAGAATCATGATCAAGCCATGGTCTTCACGGCAACGGGGCTGGACACCGTGTGTCGCCCATCCGTCCAAGTTATGGATCTATAACCATCAGGGCTGTCGACAAGAACAAACAGATATACATCGAGTCATCCAGCACCCCAGAAGCCGCTTTGTTTCCTTTCTTTTCTAGAAAGATCTTTGATAAAATGTTTAATCACAGGATCTATGACCGAGCTTACATCAAGTTCCGGGGTGAAAACTGTCCAAACTTCCCCTACTCGGACTACGTGCACGAGATGCCCCAGGTACGATCATACTAACGTTTAGAGTACCGAAGTTCTTCTGGAAAGACATCTGAATTGTTTGGCTTTTCTGGGCAGGACTTCATCAAGATGCTACGTAACATGAGTCGTGGCGATTCGTTGCTCTGGTTTACACCTGAGCATCTGGTCAGGCCCAGGACAGCCTCGAAAAGGAGTTCAAAGGACAAGAACTAGGAAGGTCAAGGCGAAGTGGATTGAAACATTTCTTCCTCTTTTCGCAGTCATTTCCATTCTGCACCCATGAAAACGATTCCTGAAAAAGACTTTCCATCAGAGTTCCATCCCTGTCTGTTTAAATCTCCCTGCGATTGAAATTTCATCCAGAGTCTCCTCCTCCCGGGACTGTCCAAATGGTCCTTTAGATTTTTTCTCTGCGTTCTTTCGATAGCTGATTGTCTCTGGAATTCCCAACGATAAGAGGGTAAGAAAAGAATGTCGTGGTTGCGGTCAATAGAATATTGGTGGTCAGCCTGTCAATCAAGGTAAAAATACTGAAAGTTTCTAGCCAGATGACAATCGATGTTCCTACAGTTGCAAAAAATTCGAGCTGCATTGAAGTTAAATCAGAAGACAAAGAATGTCAAAATTATACCTGTCTCATTTTTTCCACCAGGCAAAGTGGAGCGACAATGAAGACGACGGACAGGATCATAAGCACACGCCTGCTACCTGTTAGCATTGGAAGTGATGTTTTCAATGCCCGATGACAGCAGCTTCACTACCTTGTTGAATGCTGCCTACAATGGTCCCAATGAGCAGAATCACTATGCTAATTTCGGTAGCAAGCTGTGAAAAAAAAGAAAAGAGAGAAAGCCTTTAGAAACTTAAAAAACGAAAAGAAAAAAGACAGAACCTTCCACCACTTCCCACCAATGTGGAAAGCAAGAGACTCGTAATCGAGAATAAGCTTGTCTGAGAAGCAGATCACAAGTGTAAGTATTTGCCGAGGCCACAACGAGCATTATCAGGAAGCCGCAGACAATTCCTGTTGTACTGAATGCATTTGAGAAGGACCGCTCTGCAAGCTGAAGAAAAAAGATCAAAATCAGGATGAAGGACCCTCCCATAATGAGTGTGACGATGCCGCTGAAGAGAGCATGTCGATACCGTCGCGTGTTTAGCGAACGTACCTCTCGCGGAAAATCTTGCTCAAAGCTAAAGCTGTGAAGCGGCAACTACGAGAGATTCCATACCTTCCACGCCTTCATTGCTGTCCCATGGCGCACCGATCGATTCCCGAGCCCTAACAAAGAGGAAAGGGAAAATATTCTAGGGCTACGCGGCGATCGCTTCCTCTCACGATACTCATCCAGGGATGAGGCTACTGTGAATCCGCTGCGGAGAATCGAGCGCCTCGTTTGCAACATCGAGCAGACTTCTCCGAACTCCAAGAATGCGTGCTTGGCCTCAAATCCGAGCTCTCCGAGGAGCAACGGCTGCAAATCTGGAAGCTGAGCTACCGGATCTGGAACACCTGCGTGGATATCGCCAGCAGCATCCAGCAACAGCAGCAGCAGCAGCCGCCAGGCCGCGCAGCGGTGGATTCCTCGGCGGAATACCACGCTCGGCTTCGTCAGATCGCGAGCGAGATGCTCTTCTTGGCATCTACCCGGTGGAGCACTCTCAAGATGGCCAGATTTGTATGACATGACGATGCTCATGTTTCAAGCAGAGACCAAAGCTATTGCCGTCTTGATTCATATTTCTTCTCGTGCGAAGCTGTGCGTGATCTCTTTACGGGTGCTAGTTTGTTTGCTCGAGGTAAAGCGAGGCTTGTTGCTTTGGTACTATGATTCTGTCTGTTCGTTTTCCAGGTTGAACTGGAGTACTGCCAACATGACACTGATCATGAAAGATGGACTCTCTGCATTGTTCCAAAGCTTCGTTAATTTGAGATTTGGTTATTGCAGAGGTCCTCATAATTCCCATGAAAGCTTTGGAATTTTTCGAAGGTGTTCCGAGAGGTGCTTTTGAGAGACGGATGTGTCTATCAAGCATAAGTTCTCCAAGGATGGATAGAAGGAGCTGTCTTCAGAATCTGCAAAAGGTAACATGTTGATCTTCTTGCAACCTCTCAGATCAAGCTCCCTTAGCAAAGGAAGCCTTGCAACACCATCGGGTATCACATCCAAGTTCTTCAAAGAACATAATTCCAGAGTTCTCAACGTTGTGAGTGATGCGAACCATTCTGGTAGTTGGTCAATACCACAGCTGCTAATTTGCAGCCACGTCAGCTGTGGGAAGGCATCCATGGCACCTAGAGAGTCTGGAAGCTGTTCAAATCCACCAAGGATTATTGCTTGAAGTCGTGGGAAGTTGCCACCGAATGCAACAACACGGGCATGCATGCGAAAGGACTCAAGTCGAACAACTGTCAGTGATGGGCACTCGGATATGTTGATGGTGGTCACATCGTCGCAGCAATATAGATTAACTGCCTCTAGATTTGGAAGGAACGAGATGGAGAGGTCCTTCAAGGAGGGACAGGTGTTGATGTCGAGGACCTTGAGTGATGCCAGTTGAGAGATGGTGGGCACCCCAATCAACTTTTGGCATCCCCAAAGGCAGAGTTTTGTCAGCATGGGAAACATTTCCTGTGTTAAGAAAGGAAGCCCCTCAAGGTGGTCATTGTCCTCAATAACCAATTCTTGCAAGTTCTCCATGTTGGAGGTTACTTTAAAGCCACTTTTCCCAAAGCAGCTCACTTCCAAAGTTCTCAACCTCGGAAATCTGCTCCAGTCCCAGTCTGAGGTCAATGGAAGCTCCAATCCCTCCAGTCTCAAAATCTCAAGGTCGGGCAAGCCCTTAAAGCTCTCACATGTTCCCCCTGTTTGACCATGTATTTCCAACTGTTTCAAATGGGCCAGTTTGCCTATGCTTGCTGGTAGATCCACAGCCAACCCTGTATCAATAATCAACACCGCCAACTCTGTCAATGCCTGAAACATCCCATCCAGATAGAATCTTCCAAACCTCCTGTTCAAGCATTTCTTCTGTTTGAAAAGCCGATGATGCAGCCTGTGGCATGTCCACATTCCCCAACATCCCCTTCCGTTTAAGTAGACCAGCTTGGTGAGTTTGAGCAAAGCATCCACAGGGAAAGACTTGAGTTTCCTGCAGTCTTCCAGGTTCAAATATGATAAATTCGCCAAGTTGCCCAGTGAATCTGGGATGCTTTGGAGTGACCTACTCGAAGACAAATCCAGAGTCTCCAGAGTCTTGAGCTGTCCAATGCTATGTGGCAAACTTACCACCCCAGTGTGGCTCAGGCACAAAACCTTCAAGCTTCTGAAATGAGAGAGGCTTGGCAATGCAGTGAGATTGCGATTATAATCCAAGAGCAGGCAAGTGGTGCTGGAAACTTTGACCCTGTTCTTCTTAAGTAGAGGGATTTCCGAAATTCGACACCCAAACAGTGAAATCCTGCTGTAGTTACTCGTGAAGGCGTCCCCCACATCCCTCATCTGCGACTGCCCAGCCTTGAAATAACACTTGGGGCCTTCTCGTTCCAGGATGTGCAAAGCAAGAGCCAGCAACGCATCGTGGATCCTGTACCTCTTGTATTCTAAATCAATCTGTTCTTTTTCTTCTTCAGTGATAAGTGCGTGATTCTTGAGCCTTTCTAGAACATTCGTGGCCTCTGCTATGTTGGCAACCAGCCCTTCCCCTTTCCAACACCTGACAGGTCCCAAAATCCAATCGGATAGTCTTCTGGAAATGCTGCGAAGAAGAGAAAGTGCTGGTGGATGCGAAGAGGCAACAATGCATCGTAACCCAGCTTGAGTCGCTCCAGTACCTGTTGTTCCTCATCAAGAGCAATAAGTCGTTGATCCTTGAGTTTGCTCAGAACATAGTCCCAATCTTGTGTGCCTGCCATTCTTCTGCCAATTACCTTCAAGACCAGTGGAAGCCCCCCACACTTTTCCACAACTTGCTCCACTACTTCCTTGCTGACTTGAGCATGTTTTTGGTTTGGGAATGCGTGGACTGTGAACAACTTCATGCTGTCTTCCTTTCCCAAGAACCCCATTTCGGTTTTGATTGCACCTCTACTGTCAAGCACATCACGTTTTCGAGTGGTAATGAAAATCTTGCTTCCATTCTCTTGCACCACATCCAAGAGATCCAAATGGATGGACTTCCAGACATCATCCAACACCAGCAAGCATCTCTTCCCAGCAAGCCCCCTCCTCAGTGTTTCATTGCTGACCCGACCTTCCAGTTCAATTTGTTCGCCAAGTTCGTGTTGCTTTGCTTCCACCTGAGGAGATACAACCATAGCCGCTCAATATGTTGCATTATACGCTTAAGGAACGTACCTGAACCGACTGACCGAATGTTAGCCACAAAACTGGATCGAAATGCCCCTTGACTTGATCGTTGGCACATACTCGTTTGGCCAGGAGTGTTTTTCCAGCACCTCCTGCTCCATGGACTCCAACCCACTTTCTGCTTACAGGGGACTCCAGCAAGTCTGATACAACCCGCTCCAGAGTCTCTTCCATGCCGAAAATGTGCTCAGGAACAACATGCTGTTCTTCCTTAGGAAGTTAGGAACTACATTAGAGGGCACCTCCTTTTGCTTCTTCAATGTATGTAGAATCTCAATGTCAAGATTTCGAGGAGCTGCAGCCAAGAGCTCGTGGATCGCCTTGGAGCAGTCGTCAATCTTGGTAGCAAGCTGTATCCTGAAACAAAATCACAAACTCAATTCAGAAATATCCCAATAGACGCACAACCAACCTCTTTAGGCCATCTAGAATGGGATTTTGCAGAGACTGGCACTCAAGAATAAGAGGTTTAGCCTCTTCAACCTGGGCTTGGAGGGCTCTCAGCAAGGTATCCAGTTGTGAGGAGCTCAGAGAGCCCTCGGCAGCAGAATATTTGTTCATTTCATCTAACAGACCTGATGCTTCGGTCAATGAAACTTCCAACTCGCTGCACTTCTCCTTGCAATGAATGGCAGACTTGGCAAGCCCAATCACTTCTTTAACAGCTTCAGAAACAAGCACTCCCAGCACACCCGTGGGATCGAGGCGGGCCATGGATACAAGCTCTGTATTTTGCTTAACAGACTCGTGAATTCTTGCACGACAATCTCGACACCTTTTCAAGGTAAAATGCCGTTTCTTTTTCTTTTCTTTCTTGCACTGAAACTCGCCAGTTCAGACATACAAAATGATGCAACACGTTTGCGCGTTTTCTAATTTTTTAGATGACACCATTAAAAACGGAGGAAAAGAAGACTAAAGCACGACTTAGACTAGTCGCGTGTGACGAGATTACCTTTCAAAAGAAGAGAAGATCAAATCAATGTCCCACCAAGAGACCTTCCATTGCTTTTTTAATGGTCGCATTAGCTGTCAGGCTGTACATGTACTGGCAGTCTTGTTCTCGAGAAGATGAATCAAAACTTTTTACACGTGGCAATATTTAATTCCACCGACAAAACATCAATTACGGGTGGCCACGCGTACATCTTGCAGTTGAGCGGCTATGCTTGGCAGGACTGGACGCGGGATCGCTTGCTGTCAGGATGCTCATCTCGGAGGTGCTTAGTGATCCAGGGATTGGCAATGTGGCTACTGTGAATCCGCTGTGGAGGATCGAGCACCTAGCAGGCTTCTTCTCTGGGAATCAATGTCGATACTGCTGAAGAGCTCCAAGAATGCGTGCTTGGTCTCAAATCCGAGCTCTGAGAGGTGCAGTGGCTGCAAATCTTGGAGCTAAGCTACCAGCTGCCAGACCTTGTAGTGGAATACCATGTGTGCCTTCGTTGATATGCTTTTGTAGTCTGGTGCCATTGGATCCATCAGGTTGAGCACTCTCAAGATGGTTACATTCTTCCTTCCATCAGGCATGACTTTATAAAATTTTGAAATAATGGTGTATATGAGGATGTATGTTATAATATTTTTAAATTGTATTTATTTAAATTTGTAATCTGATATACTATTTTTTAACTATCTTAAAAGTAACAAAATATGCTGTAAATACAATCATAAGATATATTACCACATTTTACTTTACTTAAAAACATTAAAATAACACAATACCACTGATTTTAATTGTTTTATAATTTAATTTAGTTATTATTTTAATTATATTAAGTAAGAAAGGTTATCTAATTAGTTATTATATTTGGATTCTTTATGTTTTCTAAGTAAGGAATTAATAAGATTATACCTCACTTTTATATACAGTGTATAATTTATTTTTAAAAAAAACTATACATTGAAAATAACATATAAAATTATTAAATTAAGTATTTTTTAGAATTAAAAAACTCTAAAATAAATATTTATTTCAATCTAAATAAATATTGTTTAAGACACAAGCTTTAATTTTCTAACTAATTTTCTTTTTCTTTACAATCACATTTATTTAGTAAGGTTGCAAATTAAACTATTAGTTCTGAGCTATAATATATAATTGTTCAAGTTGTGAGTGCTCAAGATATAGAATTATGTATCTTAATAGCTTACTTATATATAAGATTGGATGAACCAAATTTAATCATAAATGAACAGTCCATATGCTATAGTACTATAATTAGTGTATTATCTAGCCAGGGTAATATATGTATGTACATATATATATTACAAACCTTACAAAGTTAATTTTTGTCAAGATTTTGAGGAATAATTCATTAATAACAGAAATATTAGTCAGATTATATTAATTTTATTTTAATAAAGTTTATAATAATAGCTTTAATAGGTATATTTTATTTACAATTGTCATCCATCCACCTGATCTAAAATTTGGTGGTGGACCAATAGCAAAAGAGTGTGTTCTAGTGTGCCAAGCCACTCAAACCCAATCTTTTTCTCCTCTCCTTCCTCTTTGGTTGGCTCTTTGTAGGTAACAATGCAAAACACTAACTCCTAGTGTGGCGACTCGATTTAGGCAACAAACCGTGACTCCCCCGAGAGAAAGCGTCGGTCTAAATGTGCTGTCTTTGGGACACGGCCTTAAACTAGAATAGTCTGGAATGGTAGGACCAGCGCACGTGCTGGAAGGAGCGAGCACCAGCCGAGCCCAGTGTCAAACTTTCAAACATCTTGTGCTGCGAATGATCTATTCAAAACTATCACCAAACAACCCATTGTTTAGAAGCTTGGAAGAATGTTCAAAGAGTTTTAATCAAAGAATTTTCCTTTGCTTTTGACTGTTCTATCCCTCCATAATCTTTCCAAGGGCATTGTTTGTGATCAAACTTCCATCCATCCATGCATCCAGCGAATATGCTCTCTAGACGAGAAAAGAACTAAAGAAAGAGAGAAAGAGAGAGAGGGAGAAATACACAAGGATTTTGGAAGAGAAGAGTTATAAGTATAAATATAAGCTACTCTCTTTGTTTTCTTGTGTGTGTGTGTGTGTGTGTGAGTTTGGCCTGTTCTTAGCTTGCTCCTGCTGCCTTCCACAGTGCAAAACCTTTAAAACTTGGCACTGCGAATCATCTCCACCGCCTCTACACACCAATCCACTGCCTTGGTGGTGGTGGTGCTGCTGATCCAGCATTTGCCGGGATGGATCTCTTGAGCATCTCCCCCTTTTCTAGCTGGAGCTTGAGCTCGTCGACGAACCTGGGAGGCGAGGCCGGCGTCACAGGACTGCTCGACGCTGCCGGTGACGGGCTTCTCGAGCGCGGCGATATGTCTTTCGCGGACGACTTTGACGACGCCTCAGCCCTCTCGGCTGGCTTGGCAGACAAGCCTGGAAAGCAAAACAGAAGGCATCAGTTAAGTCACATACATATACACCGAGTTTGATCCTTGGTCTTGGCGAGATGGCGATGAGAGATGGTGGTCTATGGCTATGCTGCAAATGAAGTCTCTGGTAGCTGCTCTGTTGCCAAAGTTTTAAGTATCAGACCGTTACAGTATCAATATGAGTCTAGCCATCAAGAATGGATCGCCAGTGATTCAGAGAGCTCAAGAGTAAAGAAAATAGAAAACAATGTCAGGAAGGAAATGTAACTGTTGCTTACATTTGTTGACGTTTTACAGTGTGGTTAGGGCTGCAAGGCAACGGCAATAACAAAAGCAGGAAGCACCACCTCTTTGGAGCGGTTGAATATCATGTATCCTTTCTATAGTTCAAAACACTTCCTCTTCCATCCACCTGCTTCTGACATTTTGCTCTGCAGAGAGAACTTAAGACAGTGATTTGTAAACACAAACATAAACATACAGCATGAAATGGTTTACTATGAAAACACCAGTTGCCCCTGTAATTGTGATGATGGCACTTGAATTTGAGACTGATGCCTGTGCAGAAAACAAGGATCCTAGCTGATATACACAAATGACGTAAAAAGTTTTATCACTAGGAATCTAGGTAGTTAGCTTGCAAGCTACAATATAATGAGTTGCCCCACAAATAATAGCATGTACATAGAAACCATAGTTTACAAGCTTGCAATATGCTACAATAAACATGTTACCACATGTGCTAACAAAAAAACAAAAATAAAAGAATACTCACAATCTATATAACAAGTGCATAAACCTCCTCGTTTTTATAAATCCATCGTTAAATCTTTGTCATATGCCTTTGTTCTAGCCTATTTGGATCGTGAGTGGCTAAGGCCTCATGAATTTGGTGTCGGTTAACTGGTATCCTCCAATTCGACAGCTAGATCAGGAATTGATAATCCCCCAGTTTGTGGCACCTCGATTCATGGCATTGTTAGTTTGAACATAATGAAGTACCTCTTCGGGTGGTACTCTGTAATATACACTTTTCCAATTTGGATCGACAAGCCGCATGTATTTGTACAGTGTTTGCTTGGAAATTCTAAGATAGCATGCGAAGTAAGCAATAGTTTTAGTCTCGAGGATCTTCAGGTGCATCCCAAGTGACAAATGCAGCTGAACTACTGAATCCCCTTGATTGCAAAAACTTATAGAAAGCCTAGAAACGTGCAAATCATGAATCTAGAAGGCTGGAAACTAAACAAACCTCTGGGAGAGCATCATTGTCACTATCCATACTGGAACCATAGTCCAAATCACTAAAATTGGATGGAAGGCCATCCACCTCGTCTTCCTCCATGTCTTCCAGTAAACTTGGAAGAAAAAGTTTTAATGACACAAATTTGAAGTAAACTAGGGAAGGAACTATATTCATGGTAGGAACTTGAAAATCCATAAAGAACAATTTAAGTAGTAAATCAAAACCATTTCCAACACTACCCACAAAAACATTTGAAATCAATCACTAGCAAACTAAATTACCTTTCACATCTACTACCAAGAAACATGCTAAATAACATAGCACTAAAGCAAGGCACTAAAGCAAGAAAGCATATCCTAAACCTTATGACCTAATGAATCCCTATGTCATGATGTGGCATCTATGTATAGCACATTGTTTATATTTATGGGGATATCATTAACCCATCAGGCTAGGGTATCCATGAGCAAATGACATCTAATGCCGAACCAATAAAAAACTGCGACATGGTGAAATCTACAACAGTAACACTCACCCTTTTAGGAATTGCATGCCATATTTGTCGTCAAGTTTGTGGACGCAAGGCAATCTTTTGACCAAGTTCACGAGCTGATGAGAGAAACGTGTGTGAAAACTTTCAGCATGTGCCTCAATCGGTACCATCTTTCTCAGCTGTCGACAGGTAGGCTTACTATTTCACATTGCTTCATCATAAACTTTTTTTTTCTGCAGGCAATTTTTCGATTCAGGTCTGTTGAATTTTACACGCTATAGCTCTAATTCTCAGGCAGCCTCCTCATCAGTGCTCAAAGCAGTGGAAAGCACGACGTATGGGAAAGAGCTCTTGGGCGGCAGTTCATAAGGCCCTCTGCTGCGTTTTGAGCCACGGTTGCATCACTCTCAGTCTTAGACGCGGCCAGCAACGTTATCCACTTGGTGTCTCTGGCTGAAGTCAGATACTTTTTTAGGAGATCCTCCGCTTCACGCAGCATTCCTGACCGGCTGATCCAGCATGCAACCACAGTGCTCAACAGAAATCTTAAACTCATAATCGACCAGCATTGATATGAAGAACTCGGATCCTTTTTTCAAGTTACTGGCTACAAGCACACAGAACACTAACAAAGGTGGCACCATCGGGTCTCACTCCCTCCTGCTTCATTTTGGCGAACAGACCAAGAGCTTTGCCGAGGTGATCGTGCTGAGCATAACCAGCTATCATGGCATTGCAAGTGACGACGTCGGGAAGAGGTATACTATCAAAGAACTTCCGGGCTTCGCTCAAGCAACCACATTTTCCATACATGTTGACAATGGCTGTTCCCAGGATTACGTCGACACTCATCTTCTGCTGAAGTATTTGCTGGTGTATAAGTTTCCCTTCGGTTGCAGCCACTGACCAGGCGCAAGCATCCAGTGCTGCTACATACGTCCGCTTGTCAGCAACTCCGGGATCCATTTGGTGGAAGAGTTCCAAGCCTTTTTTGGGACGACCGTTCTGAGCATAGCCCGAGATCATGGTGTTCCAGCTGACAACGTTTCGGACCTCCATTCTGTTGAAAACACGTCGCCCGTCTTCCAAACGTCCACACTTGATATACATGTTGGCGAGTGCCGTTGCCGCTACTAAGTCCGACTCGAATCCAGCCTCAACTAAGTTGCCGTGAAGAGCTTCTCCCGCAGCAGCGTTTCCTACCGAAGAACAAGCATTGAGGACGTTGACAAAGACGACTGAGTCGAGGCTTTGACCCTCCAGAATCATCATCCTGAAGAGCTGCAGGGCCTCGTGACCATGACCGTTTTCTGCGTAAGCCGCAACCATGACACTCCAACTGACTAAGTTCCTCTCCACTGTTTTAGACTCAAACAGTTCGCGAGCTTTCTCTAGACAGCCGCATTTTCCATACATGTCTACAAGAGCATTCCTCATGAAGAGTACCGACGCCCGGCCACTTTCATAGCTGCAGGCGTGGATCAGCTTTCCTTCCGTCAAATCTTCCGGACAAGCACAGGCATTGATAGTAGAGATGAGAGTGATCGCATTTGGAGCGAGGCCTTCCAGAAGTAGCTGCTTGAACAACGTCCGAGCACTGTCACCTTGGCCAAGAGCTGATATCATCGAGTTCCACGACACCAAGTCCGGAGCTTCGATCCTTTCAAAGATCTTCCGGGCTTCGTCCAGCTTCCCGCTCTTCCTGCTCAAGGAGGACGTCCGACTCGAGGCCGAGATCGCAAACACAGATGTGAACCGCCGTGCCAATACCCAGCGTCAATGTAGAGCTGCAAGCATTGAGAACCGTGACATACGTGACACTGTTTGGAGCGACACCTTCCAAGAGCATCAGCGTGAAGAGCTCCAAGGACTGTCCACAGCAGCCGCTCTGGACGTAAGCCGAGATCATGGCGTTCCACAACACCACTCCATGCGGACGTCGGACACAAACTCCATCAAACCAGGCTCGAGCATCAACCAGGCTGCTGCACTTCCCATACATGCTCACGACCGAAGTTCCGATGATCTCGTCGTCCTCTAGCCCGCTCTCTAAGATCTGGGAGTGGATCGCCTTGCCGCCACTCAACGCTCTCCTCGCAGAAACACAGGCTTTCAACACGGCAGTGAAAGTGAAGCTGTCGGGCTTGACACCGTGCTGGAGCATCTGGCAGTAGAACTCGAGCACCTTGGTGGTGCTGCTGGATTGACGAGAGTATGCGGACAACATCGCCGTCCACGTCGTGACGTCTCGGAAGTGAGCCATCCTGTTCCTGTCCAAGAAGACGTCCTCGGCGTTCTCGACACTGCCACACTTGAGGTACATGTGGACGAGGCGCTCACGCAGGTAAAAGCTTTCCTGAAAGCTAGACTCTACAATGTGACTGTGAATCTTTTGTGCATCTAGCAGGCTTTCCAGAGAACCACACTCGCGGATGAGACGAGCCAGAGTGGAGACATCGGAGGAGCATAGCTTCGAATCGAGGTACTCTCTCAAGTTTAGCTGTTTGCTTGCACAGTCTGTAGCGAGTCCTCTGGCCAGCCTTCTCATACCGCTGCTAGAGTTCTTCCCGCGAGCACCATCTTCGTCTCTAGCTAGAAGTCCAGCAAAAACTGCGGTAGCATTCTTTCGAAATGTGTTGCTTCGATGTGATCCTTTCCCTCGGCCTCTGCAATGATTCCCGCTCGCCCGACTGCCTCTGCATCAATCAGCCCAGAAGTTTTGGTTCTAGTTCCTTCTTTGAAACACCCGACCTCTGACGAAGAGCTTGAGCAGCTCACAGAGCATTCGCATTTGCTGCAAAACGGAAACGAAACTGGCCGCATTTCTCTATGATCTTGCTTTGCTCACCAGTGGTAGACTTGGTTCTTTTCAAGGTTGCGCCTACGTTGGATTCATCCGCCTTGGCAACATCTGTTGTGGAGCTCAGACAAAAGAGAGAGAGAGGAAGAGCAAACCCTGGCTCCTTCTCCCAAACGCTCTTGAAAATCTCGTCAACTAGATCCTGTGAGAGGACAAGACAAGGGTAAGCCACATTTTTTACTGGACTCACTCGTCCATAAAGTTCAGTTTGTTAGGGTAAAGTTTTTAACATGATTTAAAATTTAATTTTGTTTAACTTTTTAAAAATAAGGAAAATATATTTACTTAAAAATTTTCCATTTAATGCAAGAAAATTAAAAGTTAAGAATAACTACAAACACACAAATTGAAATAATAAAGATTATTTTGTTAGGAGTAACAACATACAAATTTAGAGTAGTGTTAAAATTAGTTTTTTCTTCTTAAAAATACTTTAATAGAATATTTAAAATTTTATTTTAAATTTTAAATTTTATAAATCATTTTTATTTTTTGAAATTTTAATTATTGTCATTTAATATTTTTTTCTTGTGCAAATATATATATTTTAAGTTAAGCACAAATATGGTATCGCAGTTAACAAGTATATATATAACCTTTAACTTACTCTTTAAAGCAAGTAATATATTTAATTATATATGATGTGGTATACCACATAATAAAAATTTGAAATAATGATATTTTTTAGGTTGCATATTATATATAAAGCCTTTAGAGAGAAAACAATAAAATTAAAGCTTGGTCAAAATTAGGAACTTAAATTGTAACTATTTAAATTTGTAATTTGATATTCATAACACTTTTTATTTTTAGATGGTTGTAATTATTATAAAGGTAACAAAATATAGTGCAGGCATAATTAAAAAGATATATTTGTGTTATTACCTCTTTTTATTTTACATGAAATAGTAAAGCAACACAATATCACCAATTTATAATATTTTATACTTGAATCTGTAAGGTTTGTAAATATACATATGTATGTATATGTATTACTCTAATTAAGTAATACACTAATTATAGTACTATAGCATATGGACCATCAATTTAGGACTGAATATAATCCATTTATTCAAGGATCTAAACCACAATTAATATGCCTATTCTTATATCTTGAGCACTCATAGTTGTGGAGTTGAGGGGCATTGCAATTTGTCCCTAAAAGGCAAAGTTTTTTTGTAGTGTTTTGCTCTAGTGTTCGAGATTGTGTTTTTTGTTTTTATTTCTTCATTCTTTTTCAGATCTAAATATATAATAGTTTTTTGTAAGTGTCAAGACCCCCAACAAGATCAAGACTAGAAAATGCTAAAGACAAAGAGAAAAGCTAGTGGAAACAAAGAAGAGGCCTTAGACTGGTGTTGATTCAGATTGTGGAGAAATGGAACAAGGCTAACCTATATATACTATAGGTTGATGAAGCTCCACCACTCTTGGATCGAGGACGGCCTAAATATAGCTGAGGTTGAGGAGGCGCCACATCCAAGACTCAGGAATCGGGAAGTGTCTCGAGAGTCAGGAATAGGGAAGTGTCTCGAGAGTTAGGAATAGGGAAGTGTCTCGAGAGTCAGGAATGTGGTTTGCAGGTTAGGAATCCGGCGAGAGTCAGGAATGTGGCAAGAATTGGGGGATTCCTAACAGCACCCCCTCCTCAAGAACGAGTGGAACGAGGATGTGAACGAGAACGAAGAGGAGGATGAGATGAGTGGCGAGGGATGGGAGATGGAGAAAAAGAATGAGGACTGGGATGAGAAGGATAGCGGCGGTGGAAGTCCTGAACAAGGTCAGGAGAATGAATCAGGTTGTCCACAGGTTCCCAAGTGCGTTCCTCAGGTCCGTAACCCTTCCAGTTCACCAGATAGTAGAGTTTAGACCGTGAAATCTTGGAATCAAGGATGTCCTGAACCTCGTACTCAGACCCATCCTCGAGCTGCACTGGTGGAGGCGGAGGAATGACCCGATTTGGAATAGGACTGGGAATATAAGGCTCAAGGAGAGAGGAGTGAAAAATGGGGTGAATTTGATATGAGGAGGGAAGTGCAAGGCGATAAGTGACAGGATTAATGATGGCAGTGATAGGGAAAGGACCAAGGCGTTTGAAATCGAGTTTTGGACAGGGCCTGGTGGTGGAGATATTTCGCCTGAGGAGCCAGACTTTATCCCCGATATTGTAAGGGGGACAATCCTGATGATGGACATTGGCAAATGTTTTATGAGATTCCTGAGCATGATGGAGGTGGAAGGAGATGGAGTTGTGGATTTCTTGGAGGTTGGAGATAAATGATTCAGAGCGGGGATTTGAACGAGAGGATTCAGATGGAGAAGGAAGTGAGAGATTGAATCGGGGATTTCGGCCAGAGTTCGCAAAGAAGGGGGAAACTCGAAGAGAGGAGTGAACAGAGTTGTTATAGGAGAACTCAGCAAGGGGAAGGATATCGAACCAGTTATCCTGATGATAGTTGATGAAGCACCTCAAGAATTGTTCCAACGTCTGAATCGTTCGCTCGGACTGCCCATCAGTTTGAGGATGATATGCCGAAGAGAGGTTGGCCTTCACTCCAAGCAGCTGCAAAAACCGTTGCCAGAAATGAGAGATGAACTGAGGCCCTCAATCCGAAACCACATCTGTAGGAATCCCATGAAGTCGGAAAATTTCCCTGAATACCAGTTTTGCCATATCCTCGCCCGAAAACTCCTTGGTACATGGCAAGAAGTGCGCCATCTTTGTGAAGCGATCCACCACGACTAAAATGTTGTTGAAGCCTCAAGAACTCGGAAGATCACTCAAGAAATCCATGGAGATGGATTCCCAAGGACCTGAAGGGACCGGAAGGGAACGAAGCAAACCTAAAGGAAGGTGGCGAGGTACCTTATTCTGGGCACAAGTGTCACAGGAGGTAACAAAAGCTTTGATGTAGTCGTCCATGTGAGGCCACCAAAAGTCCCGTGCAACTAGCTCATAGGTTTTCGCAATGCCAAAGTGACCAGCAGTCGGGCTATCGTAGCACGCCATCAGGACCAACCTTCGAGCATCACCTTCAGGAACGTAAAGCTGCTCCCCACGGTACAATAAGCCATCTAAGAACTCGAACTCGTCAAATCGCCGGCAATCGGGAGTCACTGGGTGTCCAGCCTGAAGATGGGGGAAAATGTCGCTAGCGAGATCATCAGATTGAAGATCGTTTCTGATTGCATCCATCAAGGAGGAGTCCTGAGGGGCCAGGGAAATTGCCATAACTTGAAGCCGATCAGGACCGAGGATAACTTGATCTTGTTGATCGAAGGCAGGATTACCAGGCCTGAGACTGAGATAGGAGCGCCTTGAAAGAGCATCAGGAAGGCCTTGAAACTTTCCAGGTCTGTACTTGATAACAAAGTCAAACCGATTCAGGAATTGTGCCCACCTTGCTTGACGACGGCTTAAAACTCGGGAAGTGGCAAAGTACTCAAGATTTTTGTGATCCGTCCAGACTGTTGTTTGATGGCTCGCCCCCTCCAAGAAACAGCGCCACTCTCCAAAGGAATCCACGATGGCAAGGAGCTCCTTGTCGTGGATTTCGTAATTGATCTCCGTAGGCTGGAACTTCCAAGAATGGAAAGCGACCGGATGAAGTTCGTGATCCGCTCTGAGTTGAGACAGCACAGCACCAATGGCAAAGTCGGAGGCATTAGCCTCGATGAAGAAAGGTTGTGAGGAATCAGCATGGATCAAGACAGGAGCAGAACTGAAGGCCGCCTTGAGTGTGTCGAAAGCCTGCTAGGCAGCAGCAGACCAAGAGAAGGGAACATCCTTGCGAGTGAGATGTGTGAGAGGAAGGACAATGTCAGAGTAGTGATCAATGAATTTGCAGTAGAAGTTGGCGAAGCCAAGGAAAACCTGAACATCTGACATTGATTGTGGAGGCTCCCATTCGAGAATAGTCTTGACTTTGGCAGGATCCATCGTGATACCTTCAGGAGTGACAATGTACCCAAGGAACTCCACAGACTGCTGATCAAAGGAACATTTCTCAAGCTTCGCGTAAAGGCCGTGTTCTCGCAGCTTCGCGAGCACCTTGCGTACATGTTCGTCATGCTCCTCCTGAGTTTTTGAGTAGATGAGGATGTCATCGAGGTAGACGATCACCATCTGATCAAGAAACTCCCGAAAGACGTCATTCGCCATGTGTTGGAAAACTGTTGGAGCATTTGTCAAGCCAAATGGCATGACAGTGTACTCGAAGTGGCCATAGCGGGTTCAAAACGCAGTCTTCCATTCATCACCAGGCCGGATCCGAATCAGGTTGTATGCTCCACGGAGGTCGATCTTGGTGAAGAAGCGGGCACCGCCGAGGCGTTCCAACAGGTGCGAGATCAGGGGCAGCGGATAACGGTTCCGAACAGTCACCTTGTTCAAACCTCGGTAGTCGATGACTAGTCGCAAGCTCCCATCCTTCTTCTTGACAAAGAAGACAGGCGCTCCAGCCGGGGACTGCGAATGCTGAATGTAGCCTGAGGCAAGGTTCTCATCCACGTACTCTTTGAGGGCCTTAAGCTCAAACAGGGATAACCCGTAGATAGGCCCCCACGGAGGTGACGCTCCTTCCTGTAAATCAATGGGACAATCATAAGGCCAATGAACAGGCAGTACACTAGCTTTTTTCTTGTCAAACACATCCCCAAAATCATGATACTTCTCAGGAAGACTGACA